ACAAGGCATTTGTGCCCACAGAGCTGCCACTCACTGGATATTTTCTCTTTTTCAGACCATTCTCTATAAACCCTAGAGATGGTTATGCGTGAAAATTCCAGTAGATCAGCAGTTTCTGAAATACTCAGACCAGCCCTTCTGGCACCAACAACCATGCCACGTTCAAAGTCACCTAAATCCCCTTTCTTCCCCATTCTGATGCTCACTTTGGACTGCAGCAGATCGTCTATATGCCTAAATGCATTGAGTTGCTGCCATGTGATTGGCTGATTAGAAATTTGTGTTAACGAGCAATTGGACAGGTGTGCCTAATAAAGTGGCCGGTAAGTGTTTATTACTGTATATCAGTATTTTATTTATCATACGCAGTATCTAATTTATTATTTATTCCAAATGTTTTTTTAATAGTAAATCAGGAATGAGGTTAATAAAGCAAGTCAAACTATTTAAAACGTTTACTGTTGCCTTCCAGCAAGAAGATCGCTGGTACGAGTCCCGGCTGGGTCAGTTGGCATTTCTGTGTGGAGTTTGCATGTACTCCCCGTGTTGGCGTGGGTTTCCTCCGGGTGCTCCGGCTTCCCCCACAGTCATGGGCTATAGGGAAATTGGGTAAACTAAAATTGTGCGTAGTGTGTGAATAAATGTGTATGGGCGTTTCCCAATGATGGGTTGCAGCTGAAAGGGTATCCGCTGTGTAAAAAAATATGCTGGGTAAGTTGGCGGTTCATTCCGCTGTGGCAACCCCTGATAAATAAAGGGACTAAGTTGAAAAGAAAATGAATGAAAGGATGAAAACTATCTTATAATGTACATGTTTGCTCTGCAGTATGAAGTGTGCTAGTGTTTCAGTCTTGTGTGAATGAAGGGGAATGCAGCTGTTTCTGTAATCTCTGACGGTGTGAATAATTAAAGCTCTGCTCGCTTATCTTACAGAGAAACAGATAAAAACCTGCAGCACCGTTTGCTTAAGCCAGACAAGTACAACACAAAACCATAGAGATATGAGTGTAGATGAGCGGAAGAGTGACAGAGGATTAAAAACACTGTGTTTGCTGACAATAAACACACATGGAACATAAATACCATAGTAAATGTATAGTAAATACTAGTGTGTTTTTAAACTATAGTAATGTTGTGTTGATTATTTAGCTGCTGTGGTATCACAATGACTACAGTAATCTAAACAAATGACCCAATACTGTATTTTCCTACAAATATAGGGTATATTATACTACAGTACACCACTTTACTATAGTAAAAACTAAAGCATACTTCAGTATTTATTATAGTAACTTAAGTTAACTGAAGTTTAGCTAGTTCAAGTTCATGAATGCTCCAGCATAAATTCCTTCTGATATGTTACTTGGCTAAGCTACATGACCACGTGAAAAATGCTATAGTAGTTAATTTACAGTAAATACTACAGTGATTTTGGAACTATACTATAGTAAAGTGTATTATACTGTATATATTATAGTATTTACTACTCGTTAAAGTTTTGAATGCTTCAGCATACACGCCTCAGATGTATAAAACATATACTGCCTTACCACATTAAAAATACTATAGAAATTAATTCACAGTAAATACCACAGTGTTTTTGAACTTTACTATAGTAAAGTGTATTATACTGTATATATTCTATCTACAACTAGTTAAAGTTCATGATTTCTCCAGCATACATGCCTCAGATGTATTAGTTTATCAGTTCACTGTAGTTAATTCTACACTATGCTGACTGTAGATACTATAATATATACAGTATAATACACTTCACTATAGTATGGCTCAAAAACACTGTAGTATTTACTATGAATTAATTACTATAGTATTTTTTCATGTCGGAGTACAGCATATCTAAATAGTTTTATACATCTGAATGTTTGTATGCTGGAGCGTTCATAAACTTTAACTAGTTTGTACTATAATACAGTATAATACACTTTACTATAGTATGGTTCAAAAACACTAGTATTTACTATAATTACTATAGTATGTTTCATTTGTGAATGTAGAATAGGCAAATAAGTTTTATACATCTGAAGGAGTGTATGCTGGAGCATTCATGAACTTTAACTAGTTTGTAAATACTATAATATACAGTATAATACACTTTACCATAGTATGGTTCAAAAACACTTTAGTTTTTACTGTAAATTAATTACTATAGTATTTTTCACGTAGCTAAATAAATTTTATACATCTGAATGCATGTACTGTATGCTAGAGCATTCATGAACAAATGAGTTGAAGATACTATAATATATACAGTGCACTTTACTACAGTATGGCTCAAAAACACTGTAGTTTTTGCTGTAAATTAATTACCATACTGAAAAAAATATTGAAAGATGATTCCTTGGATTTACTCAATTTTTTACGTTGAGTGGTTGTAAATAATTTATTTGGGCTGAATTTAAACAAACAAATTAAGTTAAACATTATTAAACTTAATTTCTTTGTTTAAATTCAACACAAATAAATTGTTTGCAACAGTTCTGCATGCAACACTTTTTTTCAGTGAGTATTTTTTACATGGGAGTGTAGCATAGCTAAATATGTTTTATATCAGAAGGTATATATGATGGAGCATTCATGAACTTTAATTTTATTATAATATATACAGTATAATACACTTTACTATAGTATAGTTTAAAAACACTGTAGTATTAACTATGAATTAATTACTGAAGTATTTGTCACGTAGGAATGTAGCACAGCTTAATAAATTTTACACATCTGAATGCATGTACTGTATGCTAGAGCATTCATGAACAAATGAGTTGAATATACTATAATATATAGAGTGCACTTTACTATAGTATGGTTCAAAAACACTGTAGTTTTTGCTGTAAATTAATTACCATACTGAAAAAAATATTGAAAGATGATTCCTTGGATTTACTCAATTTTTTTTACGTTGAGTGGTTGTAAATAATTTATTTGGGCTGAATTTAAACAAACAAATTAAGTTGAACATTATTAAACTTAATTTATTTGTTTAAATTCAACACAAATAAATTGTTTGCAACAGTTCTGCATGCAACACTTTTTTTCAGTGAGTATTTTTTACATGGGAGTGTAGCATAGCTAAATATGTTTTATATCAGAAGGTATATATGATGGAGCATTCATGAACTTTAATTTTATTATAATATATACAGTATAATACACTTTACTATAGTATAGTTCTAAATCACTGTAGTATTTACTATGAATTAATTACTATAGTATTTTTCATGTGGGAATGTAGCAAAGCTAAATAAGTATCTGAATACACATATGCTGGAGCATTCATGAACTTTACCGAGTTGTAGATACTATACTATATATAATACACTTTACTATAGTATAGTTCGAAAACACTGTAGTATTTACTATAAATTAATCACTGAAGTATTTTTCATGTGGGAATGTAGCATATCTAAATAGGTTTTAAATCAGAATGCATATATGCTGGAGCATTCATGAACTTTAACTAGTTTGTAAATACAATAATTGGCTAAAATATTGTATAAATCACTTTATTCTAATATAGCTCAAAAACACTGTAGTATTTACTTTAAATTAATTACTATAGTATTTTTTTACATGGTCATGTAGCATAGCAGAATAAGTTTTATACATCTGAAGGAGTGTATGCTGAAGCGTTCATGAGCTTGTATATACTATAATATATACAGTATAATACACTTTACTATATGGTTTTAAAACGCTAGTATTTACTATGAATTTATTACTATAGTATTTATCACGTGGGATTGTAGCACAGCTAAAGTTTTATATCAGAAGGCATTTATGATGGAACATTCATGAACTTTAACCAGTTGTAGATACTATAATATACAGTATAACAAACTATTGTACGGTTCAAAAACACTAGTATTTACTGTAATTACTATAGTATTTTTCACATGGGAGTGCAGCATAGCTAAACAACTTTTATATCAGAAGGGATTTATGCTGGAGCATTCATTAACTTATAGTTTGCAGATACTATATCATATAATACACTTTACTAAAGTATGGTTCAAAAGCACTAGTACTTAGGCCTACTATGGATTAATTAGTATTTTTCACGTGGGAATGTAGCATAGCTAAATAAGTTTTATACATCTGAAGGAGTTTATGCTGAAACATTCATGAACTTTAACTAGCTGTAGATACTATAATATATACAGTATAATACACTTTACTATAGTATGGTTTTAATTTGCTAGTATTTACTATGAATTTATTACTATAGTATTTTTCACGTAGGATTGCAGCACAGCTAAATAAGTTTTATATCAGAAGGCATTTATGCTGGAACATTCAGAACTTTAACCAGTTGTATATACTATAATATACAGTATAACACACTATAGTACGGTTCACTAGTACACTAGTAGCCTATTTACTGTAATTACTATAGTATTTTTCTCATGGGAGTGTTGCATAGCATAGCTAAACAACTTTTACATCAGAAGCCATTTATGCTGGAGCATTCATGAACTTATAGTTTGTAGATACTATATTATATATTACACTTTACTATAGTATGGTTCAAAAGCACTAGCACTTAGGCCTACTGTGGATTAATTAGTATTTTTCACGTGGGAATGTAGCATAGCTACGTTTTATATCAGAAGGCGAGTGCTGAAGCAATTATGAACTTTAACCAGTTGTAGATACTATTGTATACAGTATGATACACTTTACTATAGTTCAAAAACACTATAGTATTTACTATAATTAAAATATTTGTCACGTGGGAATGTAGCAAAGCAGAAAAACTTTGTTTACATCTGAAGGCGTAAAGCAGACGTAAAGGCTACTTTTTAAATGACCTTTATGTACATTTTAATACATGTTTCCGCTATCGTTAACTGTATGAAACGATAAATTCATGACGGAAAACTCAGCTCTGTGTAGTGTGTACTGTACTGTGTAGTGTGCGTCTCCTCGTCTGCGGGTGTCGCTGTTTTATTTCGTCACTCCTGCGTCACTCGCCGGTTTGTCGCGCGAAGAACTGAAAACAACTTTTAGTCGACGAGCGTGTTTCTCACACACTTTCGCTGAAAAATACACATTTCTCAGGATTAAAGCAGACAGCAGTCATCATGGATGTTGGAGAGCTGCTGAATTATCAGGTACTTGTGCTTGTAATGTTTCTCCGTCAGCTTTATTTGGATAAACCACTCACTGTTTGTAGCTGATGGCTAAATTATGATATAACGTTACGTTGTCCATTAAGGCATAAATAAACCGCTTTTTAAATGATTCCACGTGCTATATATGTGTGTAATGTGGTTTAGGAAGATTAAGGCTTTACATAATGTGTTTTGAGAAGAAAAGACATGGGTTGATTTCAATACTTATCATTTCATTAATATTTGTCTTTATAAAGCTGTTAGATTTAATTATGAGTCCCTAATATAAAGTAACATGTTTATACAAAGATATACGAGACGTTTTTTGACGTTTATTACTGTCCCACATAAAGAAAAAACGGCACTGTACGTTAGTAATTTGTAGTATAAGTTACACTACAGTGTTTTGATCTATGCTGTAGTAAATTGTATTATAGTATTCACAATTCAATGTTAATGAATGCTTCAGCATACTGTTACACTATACTATTTATGTTTTAAACTGTCATAAATACTGTAGTATACTTAAGATTTTATAGTATATAATATAAACTGTAGTTGGGTGTTTTGTATATTCTACTACATATAGAGGTAAAGTTGGTTTTATATTCACACATTTGTTCATTTACCAGTCTCTATATTTTTTTACCATGTTACCTTAAATATTTAATCGGAATTAGCTTGCAATTATGACATAAAAACAACATTACCACTTTCTATTTCTCTCTGAACAGTGTTGTACTTTAATAGTCATTTGCTGCTAATATGATTTGCCTATTTACAATTTCTGCTTTTCTGAAATTATATTATTAAGGAGAATGTCTGGATATCCCGATATAAACCAACTTTACCTCTATCTACTACATTTGATTGGGCTGAAGTTGGTTTTATATTCAGACTTTTTCCTTAATAATATAATTTGAGAAAATTGTTCTTTGCAAATCCTAAATAGGGAAGTCAAATTATCAGCCAATGATTCTCAAAATACAGAATGGTTCACTGTCAATTACAGTAATTAGAGCTTCTAATGTTGTTTTGAGGCACATTTTCATGCAATTTCAGACCGGATATTCAAAGTAGTGTGGTAAACAATATAGGGAGCATGTCACAAGTTGTCTGTTCAAAAATGACACTGACAACTATTGAATTGCCAAACAGATTAATTTAAGTACTCATGGTTCAAAAACACTAAAGTAATTTATATAAGATATATAGTAGTATTTTATTAGTAATTATCACATCCATATATTATATTATTGACAAAAAAGCTTACTTTTTAATTTAAATATACTTTAAATCACTCTGAAAAATGGTTATACTGTGTATTTTGCTTTAGTTTGTAACTAAATATGCAGCTAAGCAATATTTTCTTGAATTAGATGTTGCTGGTTGTCTACATTTATTTAGGGGACAACACAATATAAATTGTTATAAGCTTCAATAAAATAATACAGTAATTATAAATGTATTACATTTGCAACTGTAATAATATCCTGTATTTTGTAATATTCTTGGGAAATTCAGTCAAAAGACAATTAAAACAATTAATTTCTTTATAAATTATCTTAATCAACAACAACAAAAAAAAACATCACTATATTAGTTTGTAATTTGTAGACTGCTGCATATGAATGCAAACGAGACTTTTGTGTTGAAGTTAGTGTTCTTGTAACTAGTTATTTTAAACTAGTTTGTTATAAAGAGACAAAAGCAATACAAAACATCCCATATTTCCCAGAAATCATTGATGAAGTGTGTGTGTTTTTTAGCCTGACCGTGGAGCAAAGAGACCCAGAGATGGGGACAGTCATGAGGAATCCAGAAGCAAGCAGAAGGCTGCGGGTCGAGATGCGGGACGGGTCCTGCTGCGGTCAGAGGATAACACTGAAGAGCCCACAGCTGGAGACGGAGACAAGGTTCTGGAGAGACTGATGGATCAGGATGGAGAAGATCCAGAGGTCAGAGCACACTTGTATAGTTTTAATTAGGGCTGCTCGATTTTGGAAAAAATCATAATCAGGATTATTTTGGTCATAATTGTAATCACGATTATTCAAAACGATTATCAGTTAAAGTCAAAATTATTAGCGCTCCTGAGAATTTAGTTTTTTTTGAAATAACTATTTCCCAAATTATATTAAACAGAGCTAGGAATTTTAACAGTATTTCCTTTAATATAATAATTAGCGCTGTCAAAATTAACGCGTTAATGCATGCGATTAATTTTAAATAATTTACGCGTTAAAAAAAATTAACGCAATTAACGCAGTTCAGGTTTTTTTACTTCCTGTTGTGGTGGATGTGTGTTCAGCATGCAATAAATGTGGATAAGACCAAGGAAGCACTTTTTGAAGGCAAGTTCCAGTATAAATCAATTAGTTGCATCACAGGTTATCCAGAGTTTCCTGCAATTTCGGGTGTTTCATTTTTAACTTTCGACTTCTGTTGTAAGTTGATACTGCATGGCGAACAGAAAGAAAATCCTCCGCATTTCGTGACTCGGTGTTCCTTTAAGGTAAGGTTCCTTTTAAGGCTACACGGTAGATTTTTAATAAGAGTATTATCTTAATCATATTAAAATCGGAGTATTGGTGTCTCATGTAAATGTACTCAGAACGTCTGGAGAAGTCGCGAGCTGTCAAAGACAGGGCATTACTCTGCCTTTCAGCTCTGTTTCCTCATTAAACGCAATGAAAGCGTATGCTTCGCGTTGTTGTGTCAGAATCCTTGTGAAATACAGTAATACTTTAGGACGCTTAGTTTAAGCAAATTTGATGAACGTGATCATGCGTGTTGAATCTGAAGGGAGTCGCTCCAGTATGGAAGGGGCGTTGGGGCCAAAACGTCTGCAGCGCGTTGTGCGTGTCTGGATGTGTGTGTGTCTGTGTCAGGCCTGTTGAGGGGTGTCAGGAGTGGAGTAAGCGACGTATCTGAGTAGGGGCGAGACGGGTGTGCAATGTATTTAACGACCGGTTTGCAAGAAATTATCATTCATTTGCGGGCATTTGGGAGTCTCTGTGCACTTGCGGGATACTCCTAGCAACTGGATGAATGTAAAGAAGGATTAAGCAAAATTGTTTCTACTCTATAACTAATGTTCTCAACTCACAGCAATAAAACTTTACAATGAGTGCAACAGTTTGTATTCAATAGTTTATTATTATAATTTTTCATTTTCCATATCTGCAATTCCTGTATTTTGGCATTTTTTTGGCAGTCCACTTAGAATCCAACATGGAAATCAATGTTTTCTTTATTGGCATTGATTGTTTTGATATTTAAATGTCATTAACATGCCTGTGTTTTAATTTCTGTAATAAATATGGCTGTCAAGCAGGATCTTGATGGTTTATTGTGGGTATGTTGTTTCAAGTTAAACAAAAATTCTAATAAACAAGTATATTTTGAATTGAAATATGTTTTGTCTTGCGTTTACATTAATTTTACATTTAAATAGCCAAAATTACAAGTTTCAGTCTTTTAAATGTGATTAATCGCGATTAATCGTGATATTTTTTTAAAAAGGTGCGATTAATTAGTTAATTTTTTTAATCGATTGACAGCACTAATAATAATAATAATATAATAATAATAATAATAATATAATAATAATAAACACACATAGATTAAGGTACATCTGAACAGTGATTTCCAATAATAAAATCCAAATGTCAAAAAAAGGCGTTCATCGCGTTTTGCAACCAAACCCCTTGTGTATATATACACCCTATAGCGCATGTGTTTGGACTGTAGAGGAAACCAGAGTAAACATAGGGAGAACATGCAAACTCCACACAGAAATGCCAACTGACCCAGCTGGCACTCGAACCAGCAACCTTCTTGTGAGACAGCAGTGCTAACCACTGAACCACGGTGTCACCCACTAATTGTCAATTACATTTGACATAAAATGAAAAGGGACAAAAACGTAAACATTAGCCCCTTTCACACATACAGACCTTTGCGGAAAATTGCCGGCAATTTTATGAGAATAAAAGGCGGTTTATGAGAATAAAAGCCTTTGAATATTTTTCCAGACACATTTAGCTGCTAGAAGTTAGTCAGATCACGTTTATATGTTCTTCTTAATGCCAACTGTGTAAATAATCATCGATGAGATGCTTATGATAAGCCGTTGTTTGTTTACCTTCAAGCTTTGCGTGTGCCCATGAAACAGCCTGTGAGCGCCTGCACACACACATATTATGAACATCTCGACATGCGATAGTGTTCCTGCGAAAGTTGTTCACAATATTGATCATCCACAGAGTTTGTAATTTAATATTATTAGTAATCAAATGTTTACAAATACAAGCGCAGCCGTTTAAGGCTCATTTGTGGTGAATGATGTCAGAATTTACCGGTATTTTGGAATGGATGTGTAAACGGTCTTTTCCGGAAAATTTCCGTAACGTCCTCGCCTGTGTGAACAGCGCTTTTTTGAAAATACCGGTAAAGTCGTTCCGTAAATTTTCCGGATATTTACCGGTATCACTGTGTGAAAGGGGCTATTGTCAAGCAGAAGAGGATTTTGAACGGGACTGAAGCCAGTCTTGTGTGTAACTCGTGGACATGCTCATGTCTATAGATGATAACCGTGATCTTTGACCTTGCGTCCTACTGTGTGTTCGTGTTCACAGGCAGAGCTGGTGGATGAGAGCACAGTGAAGAAGATGATCCTGACCTTCGAGAAGAGGTCCTACAAAAACCAGGAGCTCAGGATCAAGTTCCCAGACAACCCGGAGAAGTGAGGCAACGTTTTAATGTCACAAATATTTTACACGAATAAAAGAAATCTCTCCATATAACATTGCAAGATCTAACCAAAAAGAAAATGATCAAAAATGATTTATTATTATGGTGGAGTTCCTCATTGGCACAGTGACATCACTTCCTGTTGTTTGCAGGTTCATGGAGGCGGAGCTTGATCTCAATGACATCATCCAGGAGATGCACGTCATCGCCACCATTCCAGAGCTTTATCATCTGCTGGTGGAGCTGAATGCGGTTCAGTCTCTGCTCGGCCTCCTCAGCCACGACAACACTGATATCCTCACATGACCAGCCAATCACAGCTCTTTGCCATGATCACAGTACATAATATTCTACTAGACATTTTTCAAGACACTAGTATTCAGCTTAATGGCATTTAAAGGCTTAACTATGTTAATTAGGGTAAATTTAGAGTGATTAGGCAAGCCATTGTATAACAGTGATTTCTGTAGACCAGGGGCCTCATGGACGAAGACTTGCGTGGAAATCATACTAAAACATTGCGTACGCACAAAGCTGTAAATGTGCGTACGCAGAAAAAAATTCAGATGTATGAAACACTGCGTACGCCGAATCTCACGCATATTCTTTTGTACATCCGAAGGAACGTGAAACTGAGCGCAACATGCACGAGCACAAAACCCCTCCCTGCCTCCTCCCCCATATGAATATGCAAATGACTCTACTTTGGCAAAACCCAACGAAAAAGCAAAGGCAAAAGCAAGCAAGAAGAGAAACTTTGAACAGAATGTGAATTGGAGGTGCTGCTTTCGGAGGTAGACCGGAGAAAAGCTGTGTTATTTGCAAGTTTGTTCTCCGGAATTAACAACAAAAGAAAAAAATAGAGTGGGAGAGATTAGCTGATGCGGTTAACACAGTTGGGTCTGAACATCGCGCTGAGTGAATTAAAAAGAAATAGTGTGATTTATAGGTGTAAAATGTTACAGTGTCCTTAACAGTCTCAGTGGCGCAGTTCGAAAAACGCCCGTCAACATGTTTTGACACGTTCAAACATGAACTCGGTTCGAATCCAGGGTCTGATGAAAACATCCCCCCCCCCCTCCATATCAGATTTTGCCAACTATTTATCATGAGAAAGACAAGTAGGAATCATTAATAAGTCTGTGCATCATATTTTATTTGCACATTTATTGAATGGAAATGTTTCTGATTCACGCATGCAAATTCATCTTCAGATAGTGTCTTTATAGCAATGTGCGAGCAGTAGATAGCTCAGATTACATTGGGAAAACAGGCGACCGCTGCAAATTGCGCTTTAATGTTTGGCTGGTCAACTGTATGGTATGGAAACCTTATATACCTGCTAGATGAACCCGTCTCATACAGCTGCCATTGCAAGGCTCAGACACTTTGTAGAGTGCAATTTAACACAACTGCCTCTAGGAGTCGCCAATGGAAATAAAACACACACGCACAAAAAATGTGCGTACGCCGGCCAAAAAGCTGCCGTGGAGCTGCGCACATTCCCAGGTTCAGTTCATCGTTAGTAAATCCAAACGTGAGCGATTCTGAGCGTGAAACCTGGCGTACGCAAAGTTTTTGTGCGTACGCAGCGTTGATAAATGAGGCCCCAGGGCTATTCAATTGGCGGCCCGCGGGCCGAATCCGGTCCTCCAAACAGTGTGACCAAGACATCAAAATATTAACTATTAACTAAAAAATATTAACTAAAAAAAGGATTAACTATTGCAGTGGCCGTTCCCATATCACGTCTTTTCCACTTTCAAATTTGTTATTTCTAATGTAAGAATATATGACAATATGCGGTCGCCAGCAGAGTGACACGCTTGCGTCTTTCTGGGCGCACACAGTAGAAAACATCCCACAGTGAGAGTTGTGCGTGCCTTTCAGTGCAATGTAAACAAAATATATGTTAGATGAATTATTATTAAAATGATTATCTATGCATGAATGCAGATGGCAACAACTATTAATCCAAATAGCTACTTACCTAATATAAAGCTTGAACTTTAGACGTGATAACAGTGAAACCATGAATGTTCTTCCGACAATATAATTGTACAACCAAAATCTATAATTGTTGCATCCCTAATTGTTATGCAGTTCAAAACATAACATATGAGTGTGCCTGTATGTAGAAGAAGCTTACTTTAGTAATGCACTGCTTTTGTTGTGCTCTGAAATACAACATTTGAATGTTTGTAAAAAAAAAAAATAATAATAAATAGTCTATTTTACAATGTCACTGATATTATGTAGTTTCAAAATACAATATATAAACATTTTAATGTAGGAAAAGCCAACGTGGGTGTCATAAGGAGCAAAAATATACAGCATATTGGCTCTTATATGCAGTTGTGTCATCACTCGTATAGCAAGTTATATCTCTCCGGCCCTTCGTTTGGGATGCTTTTCATGAACCGGCCCCAATGATAATCTAATTGAATAGCCCTGCTGTAGACAATCCAAAACAAATAATGCTTAAGGGGGCTAATAATATTGACGTTAAAATGGGTTTAAAACAATTAAAAACTGCTTTTATTCAAGCCGAAAAAAACCAAATAAGACTTTCTCCAGAAGAACAAATATTATAGGAAATACTGTGAAAAATTCCTGAATCTGTTCAACATCATTTGGGAAATAATTGAAAAAGAAAAACAATTCACTGGAGGGCGAATCAGACTTCAAATGTGCATGCATACTTTGTTTATATGCTTATAAGAAAAGTCTGTGCATTTCTGTCTTTTATTTAGTCTTTTGGTCAATATTCTATGTTCTTAACCTGATTCACATATCAGCATCGCGGTGGTGGATCTGCTGCAGGAGCTGACAGACATCGACACACTTCATGAGAGCGAGGAGGGAGCAGAGGTGCTTATCGACGCACTGGTAAGAAAACATTCATTTCTGTCATCATCAGAGAAAACAGCATTACAGGAGATTACAGGCTGCTTCACCAGCGTCCAGCAGCACAGTGACATTATATAATCATGAGGAATGCAGAATTATAAGAGAACAACATACTTGTGTCAATAAGATGGAACATTTTAAGGAAATTTACTCACTGTTTAAAGTCTGGAAGCTGCGGTCATTTTTTATTTTTGTGTATTGTGATGCAGTTCCTAGAGAAACAGAAAATGAGTAAACAGTGGGCGTGGCTTGTTTTTCTTTCAACTGCGAGCTGATTGGATGTAGTAAAATTGCCGTTTCAATCAGAAAAATGGGCAAAAGGGTTTGTGGAGAGTTTTAACAGACTGGCGAGCAGGTTTATTTCATATATTATGAATTACATCGGCTCATTTCAAGCAACGGTAATTCTGAAAGTATGTACCGAATGCTGATATTTTCTTACAGTAGTAACCTATAGATTACGTAGATCAATGACAGTGCAAAATAGCCTATTGTAACGTTTGCGTTTATGTATAAATTTGTATAAACATAAATAAATAAATGCATCGTATGAACTCATTTAGCCCCTTACAGTCTCCGATATGTTACCAATTACAGTAAAACTACACACAGCATACATTTAGTCCTTATTTGGGTTCAGAAACAACACAAAACATTGTCGCCCACAGTCAGTGCAAACCTCTCATCTGTGTCTTTAATCTTCACCTCCACATCTGACCTCTGTTAGAGAGGGATTCTGTCATTCTGGGTTCATAATAGTCCAAAAGGTGATGATAATAGTTAAACATGGCAGTTTGTTCATCTTTTAGGTTGCAGAAAGCTTCATTCCGGCTTTACTCTTGTGTTTGTTCGTTTCTGAAAGGATCGAATATCAGTACACTTTAATGATCACAAGCATGTTATTAATATGAGCTCAAGAAGTTCATTCATTTTTAAATGTAGACGCATAGCGAGCACTTTGGAGAAAGTAAAACCGTTCGCACTTTTACACAGACTTATAAAACAACAACAGGACACAGTAGATTTTGTTCTTGTTGGCTTTGTGGATGTTCATCAAGACAACGACAAGGTTTGTTTGAGCTCGGGTCGACCATGGCTCGTTATTATATGCTGAGCTCGTTAAAAAATGCTGCTTCCTTTGTTTTCATTGTTCTGCTTCTGTTAGTGATGCATCTGTTAACCTATAGCATTCAGTTGCGTGTCTAGCTCAGCCTGTTGGTACCCTTTTTTGTGCTAGGTACCCTTTGCAAAGGGTGACTAAAAAGGGGTACAGTACGGTTCACTTTTAGGGCCTACTCACACTATGCCATCCAACAGCATGCAAAACGCGCCAAAGCCCGAAACTGAAAGCGAGACGTGACTTTTAAGGGGCTGTTTCATATGGATTTATTAATCATTCTTACTGTTCAGTGAACGCAAACTGCCGTAGTTTATTAAAGACGCAAACTCCTCACTGCACGACAGCTGCGCGGCTTCAGCAGACCTCCTCATTCCTGCAGCACGAGAGCTTTATGATTGTTTATGAGCGCCAAAAGTGGCGGATCTGTTCGGCGAAATATCTGACTGCGTGTCCCCGCATCCCTAAGGACTGTTTGGCGAAATATTTGACGGCATATCAAGCGACTGAAACGATATAACTAGAGAAATCTCCACTGTGCTGCTGAGTGAGAGAGCGCTTCCTACAGAACAGCCCAGCAGCGATGACGTAAGCGTGCCCAAGCCCGTTTGTGGTGTGAGCGGGGGCCGTCGGGGGAGACGAAGGGGGGACAAGCGTGCTTTGGCCCGGCTCGAGGCAACTGTACCTAGTGTGAGTACGGCCTTAGGTACCCTTTGACAGTGGAAACGGCCATAAAAGCATACCGAACCGTAAAGTATCATACCACTCAGTGGAAACGGGCCATTAGTAAACTGGACACTTTACTCTTCCTCATGTGTTTCCAAACTTTTGAGATTCTTTCTTCTGTTGAGGTATTTTGAAGAATGCTAAAAACCCGTAACCATTGACTTCCATAGTAGGAAAACAAATACTAGTCAATGGTTAGCATTCTTCTAAATATCTTCCTATTTGTTCAACAGAAGAAAGAAACAAGTAAATGACATAAGATTCAATTTTGGGTGAACTATCCTTTTAACAATAGCCAGACTGATGTTGTGGATATGCAATCAGACGCTTTCAGGCACAGGAAACAGGAACAATCAGAGGTTGATTGAGTCGTGTGGATCTGATTGAGTTCACATTCAAGCAAACACTTTTACACCTCTGAATGACTATTTATACAGCAGCTCCACAAACAGGATGTCAAATAGGCTGGAAAAGATTTATTTATTTATTTATTTGATTCAGCTAATAATAGTTTGTGTTTATGTAGTGTGTGTGTGTGTGTGTGTGTGTGTGTGTGTGTGTGTGTGTGTGTGTGTGTGTGTGTGTGTGTGTGTGTGTGTGTGTGTGTGCATATTTATTATCATATACAGCGGTGTGAAAAACTGATTTCTTGTTTGTTTGTTTTTTTGCATGTTTTTTGGACTTTAATGTTTCAGATCATCAAACACATTTGAATATTATTAAAAAAAAGTACAAGTTAAGGCATCTTGCAGTTTTTATCGTTAAGGGAAAGCAAAATGCAAAGTTACATAGCCCTGTGTAATAGTTACCTCTCTTCCCTTAAAACATAACTTCACTCTGGTTTATCAAATCTAGTAAATATCTTTAGCCACACATAGGCATGCATATTTTAGACCCCCTAGTTTATTTTAATAATTTTGCCATGATTTTGTGGTGGTAATTCTCAGAAATTTGTGGACAGTTTTGCGATTTAAAAATAAATAAATAAAAATTATATATGAATATAAACAGTATTTATTTTAGTAAGTGTACTTTTTTTTGCTTTTATTCCTGCTATAAAATATATATTTATATTTGTAGAGCAACTTTTGTTCTCTTGTCATTAATATTTCAATAAACTTTAATAGGTAAAACTGTCCGAGATATGAACAAAAGCGAGTGATACATCAAAGTTTGATTAAAAAAAATCTTGAATAGTTATAAAAATCTTTATAAATTTTAAAATAATTTATAAAAAAATAATTGGTTAAAAATGTTCAATAATAATTAATGAGATGACCTAGTTCCGCAAACTTTCTACTTCTCTGTTTATTCATCTGACTTGGTACTTGACTATGGTAAGTAGTCAAGTAGTTTCAATTGACCGCCCCCTGTCATTTTAAAGAGTATCACAACACCATTTTTAATCATTTTAAAACTGTTCTTAAAATTTGGCTTAAACAAAATCAAATATGCGGCCACTGATTTGATTTCGCTTTATTTTCACATGATGTATTGTATTTATTGTACTGTAAGTGTATATTGTATTGGTTATTGTTGTTAAATTTGTTACTTCCTGCCCAGGGACTACAGATGTAAATTAGCTTTATAGCTAACTCTGGCACAACATGTCATGTTGTACATTGTCCCTGTAGAAATAAATAAAATAAATAAATAAAGCGCATCAAGTATAAAAGCCTTATCCGTTTTGTGAGGTGCGCGATGTGGTGCCAGACGAAAGTATAAATCCAGCTTTACAGTATTACAGGTCAGACATAAAATCATACATAAGACAACATGGTCATCATTGTATAAAAATTAAAAATATGAATATAATATGTAACAATATCTTTGTTTTAATAGTAAGTAAATAATATAATCCTACGATGTGACTATTGCAGATATTGATGCTCAAACAATCTATTGTGCGGCCCTGCCATGAACTATTTTTATTATTAAACTTTGAACTTTTCTGTTACATTTATGGGTGACGGTCTTGGGATGTATTTAATTCATCATTAGCTTGAATAAATAGTTTTGATGTGTGTGTTTTTATTCAGTTGGAGGGTCAGGTCGTGGCTCTCATGGTGCAGAATATGGAGCGTTTGGACGAGACTGTGAAGGAGGAAGCTGATGGAGTTTACAACACTTTAGGTAAGACAGAAAGACACTCCAGCCAGCTAATTAATGCACATGTCAATCTGATTGGCTGATGGTGGGTTTGTGTAAGTTCGCTAAGAAACAAAGAGCTGTTTATACGTGCAGTTCTGTGCTTTTTAATTTTATTCAGTGTTTGTTTCTTGCTGTTTGGAAACTAGTTAATTATTAAAATGCCATTAATAATTGGCTAAATAAATAAATTCTAAAAACAAATTGTGAAAAACAAAGTGATTGATTTTAATTATTTTAAAAAATAATTAATAAACTTCTAAATAAATAAATGCATTTAATTCATGCACAGAAAAGATCAGTAATATAATTAAATGCAAATAATATATAATATAAAATAAATATTAATTTGTATTTTATATAATATTTATCATTAATAAGTAATTTAAAAATGTCATTTAAAAAAACGTATATTTATTTATTTTTTTTATTATCACTGCCTAAGTATTATCTCAAGCGCACTTCATGCCATCAAACTTTTATTCCTTCTTTGTAGATAATTGACCAACAAAAATAGTATAAAATTAAGATACAAATTATATAAACCAAAAGTATTTCATTGGTTTTAGGGGCTGTATAAACACATACATAAACTACCTGACAAAAGTCTTGTTGTCGATTTGACGAAGTCCAGTTGTAGAAGGATAATAAATAATAACTTCTAGTTGAATCAGAAGGCAGAAGGTGGATTTTTCTGCTGAATTATCTGTTGAGCTGCATCCCAACCATCACAAATACTGCAAAGACCTACTGGAAACAGCATGCACCCAAGATTCTCACAGAAATCAGTCAAGTTTGGTGAAGAAGAAATCATGGTTTGGGGTTACAATCAGTATAGGGGCATGCAAGAGATCTGCAGAGTGGATGATCAACATCAACAGCCTGAGGTATCAAGACATTTGTGCTGCCCATTACATTACAAACCACAGGAGAGGGCAAATTCTCCAGCAGGATAGCGCTCCTTCTCATACTTCAGCCTCCACATCAAAGATCCTGAAAGCAAAGAAGGTCAAGGTGCTCCATGATTGGTCAGCCCAGTCACCAGACATGAACATTATTGAGCATGTCTGGGGTAAGATGAAGGAGGCATTGAAGATGAATCCAAGGAATGTTGATGAACTCTGGGAGTCCTGCAGGAAGGCTTTCTTCTTCATTCCAGATGACTGTCTTGGAAAGTCTTGGACAGGCGACAAGACTTTTGTCAGATTTTATATATATTTTATAATTCAATTACATCTCATTTATATATATATATCTATTTAATATTTAGTTTAAAGCTTATTTTGTCTATCGGCTAGATCTACCAAATTCAGACCATTGACTGAGTTTTTTCATATAGCCTGCTGTATGCATTGACAATGGTGTGAGCTATTATAGGAACAGTCATATTTATGTTTATACTAACATATTTTTTTCATTATTATTAATATTGAAGGTAAAGATCAGTGCAAAGTGTTTTCCACTATTAAAATAGCAGACGTCTACATACTCCTTTTGACCTCTTGTAAGAGAAGGGATCAAGCATTAATTAGGGTGGTCAGACCCTCCAAAACCCGCATGTAATTTGCACCCTGTAGTATGTTTATAGTATGTCCACATGTATCAGTGTGTGTGCCCCCCCCCCCCCAAATATATATCTATTGAGTTTTTTCCTTTTTGCCCTCCATCAACTAGGCCAGGGGTGTCCAAACTCGGTCCTGGAGGGCTGGTGTCCTGCATATTTTAGGTCCAACCCCAAGTAAACACACCTGAACCAGCTAATCAAGCTCCTGGGTATACTAGAAGCTTGGAGCTCAACTGTGCCCTCCAGAACTGAGTTCGGACACCACTGAACTTGGCGTATAATAACAACGCAGCTTACAGAACTGCAGGAAACTGAAATAAAACTAAATAAAAAATAAATAGATAATAATAATGATCTGAAACATTGAAAAATATTGATAAAAGTACAAAAACAATAATAATAACGTGATTAAAAATAAAAATACATGTTTACAAAAACACTATTTACATAATATTCATGTATTATTCTCAAAGATGGTCAAATTCCTTCTGCTTGCCACTGATGATATAAGTTAGTGTCTGTGTGTTTTATGCAAGCATGTGCCATGTAACACTTTTTGTGACGGGTAAAAGCAGCACTGTTCTCCTCTAGAGCCGTTTTGTGTGTTGTAAACGCTGTGAATGTCTGGCATCCGCAGGTTTGCTTCTGGAAGGGAAGCTTTTAGCTGCAGAGGGAGATAAATGCTCTGACTCAATGGATTTAAACACCACTTTTCCACCACGTCTTCCTCTTTCCCATCCTCCTCTCCTGTTCCAGTTTGTGTAATGTCTCTCTCTCCTACACTTCTCTCTCTCTCTCCTCCCACTCATCATCCGCTGTGAGGTTTTTCTCCCATCATGCCTCTGATTGAGTTATCAGGTGTCTTCAGAGTCTTTTATAATACAGATGAGGCTCAAACTCCCCTGTGATGTGTCATATAGAGCTGTTCTCTCTGCTCGCTCTTTCCCTCTTATTGTGTGTCCCGGGTTCGACAAAAAGGATTTTTTTTTTCAATGATGGTCTGGGCTCAAGTTCAGATTTTTACTCATACTGGTGACATTTTCTCAGGCCCCGAGGCACAAAAATTACGTTTAGGTATTTTTTAGTAACTCATTTTTTAAATGAAGTGGTATTTCAAATCAGAATGTTTTGTTATAATGGCGCTAAAAGCTAATATAAGCTCTTTATTATATTCATTATTAAATTATTTTAAAAATTATTATTACATTTATTATTAAATTTCTTGGCAAACTGAAAATGATCAATTTTTCAGGGGTTGCCACAATCGAATGAATCACCAGCTTATCCAGCATATGTTTTACACAGCAGATGCCGTTCCAGCTGCAACCCAGTACTGGGAAACACCCATACACACTCATTCACAAACATAGAGCATGGCCAATTTAGTTTATTCAATTCCCCTATAGCGCATGTGTTTGGACTTGTGGGGGAAACCGGAGCACCTGGAGAAAATTCACGCCAACACGGGGAGAACATGCAAACTCCACACAGAAATGCCAACTGACCCAGCCGGGACTCAAACTAGAACATGCTTTCGCTAAGCTAATATAAGCACTCTGTAAAATTCCTTGGCAAACAGAAAATTCTCAATTTCGTTAACAAATGTACTCTTTTAAAATGTTCAGAGAACCTCCATGTCACCTAAAAAAAATCAATTTACAATCAGTTAACGTTCCCAAATATATCAAATCCATTACCACAGGTTGACCTCATAACATAACATAATATACATAATATATTTATCAGTAAAGAACCTGCTTTGCATCATACCTCTAAATTAAAAGGGTAATTCATTCCCAAACAGAAAATTTAGTCAATAATTTTAAATCTTTGAGTTTCTTTCTTTCGTCATATTTGAAATTAATATGCATGTATAATATGATGATTTGATCAAGAAGTTTTTCTTGATTTTACTGTGTTTGAGTAAATAAATGCAGTCTTGGTGAACAGAAGATTTCTCAGGAGCTCAAACTAAATTACTATGAAAATTTTTTAAATTATTATAACATATAAAATATTTATTATTACTTAAGTTTTATTGCAAAGAGATACAGAAAAATTAAAGGAGGAATGGAAGCAACATTTACAGTAAAAAATAAATCTTAAAATTCTATTGCAAAAAAAAAACATTACTTCTCAATCCATTTGGACCAAAAGACAACAAATGTGTGTTTTTGGTTATGCACAATGTATTTTTTTTTTTTCAAAACATCAATCAAATCTGCCACTTGTGGTGGATTAGGTTTATACCAGCATCTGATAATGGCTTTTTTACTTAAAGCAAGGATGACTGTATACATTAGGAATACAGTTAGCTCACAGTTCAATACATTTCTTGGTTTTTTTTAACACTGTTTTTGGTTCGGTTCTTTTGGCTTGACGCATGTTTTTTTATTCTATAGGCAATAGGAACAGTAAGAGGTTAAGGAGAAAAAAATAAAAACTATTTAATGCAATACTCATTTAGTTTTACTTAAAAGCCAAGAAAAGTACAGTAGTTGCTAGTGTATTGTATAAAAAAAATGAACACTGAAATCTCACAGCTGCTGGTCGCCCATGTACAAACTGGGGAACACATAAAATCCTACACTTTGAAAATAAACACGCATGTGAAGTTAATAAAGATAAATTGTCCATTTCAAATCAACATATTTGTACTTCAGTAAACATAAATAAACCATCTTATTTATCTCTGTGCTGAAAAAATGCGAGACTGTAGTCTGTAACACGGACCGAGTGCTTTTATAAGATGACAAAAGCCCACATCTCCAATCACCGAAAACGACTGCAAATCTTTAGCAATAAACACCCGCACTGCCTTTGTTATTTTATGTGTCTCTCGGAACCAGTTGGTTATGTTTGCTGGAAAGATTCAGCGAGGGATTGTTGCTATTTGGAGGACTTTATTACCTTTTCTGCTGTCCTGCCTTCAGACAGGGATATTGCTGGGTGATGCGCTGCAGATGTGCAGTCATGGTTATACGTGTAAAACAATGCTTGCCAACAGTGATTTTTAGTTCACTGTTTTTTCTTTTATTGGCATTATACTTACCGGCAAAACCGAAATGTCCTCACACTGCAGATTTGAAAGACGCCGTCGCTTTCTCGTACTGTTACCTCACTTCGCCGGCGCTTCCTTGTACTGTTGCCTGAGCCTCACTTCACCGCTGCTCGCCATGTTAAAGTGTGGAATGATGGTCAAGCGCCCCCTAACTTTAGAGCTTAGTGATTGGATATTTACTCGCAGGGTGGAGTTTCCTCATCTCAGCTCATGGATTTAGAGGCACACACAGTCAATTCAGGGAGATATAAAACGCACATAAATTAATTTAAACGCAAAACCAAGAAAACAGTTCACAAGCGCGTATTGAACCATGGAGGTCATAACGTACGGTTCAATATTATATTGAGAACCGTGGCATCCCTAATATACACAACAGTTGAAGTCAAATTTATTAGTTTTTTTTTTTTTACATTTTAAAAATTATGTTTAGCATAGGAATGAAATTTGACAGTATGTCTGATCAGGATTTTTACTTCTGAAGAAAGTCTTATATGTTTTATTTTAGCTAAAATGAAAACAGTTTGAAAAAAATTGAAATGTATAGAAGTGTCTTGAATATCTAGTCAGATTTTATTTACTGTCATCATGGGAAAGATAAAATAAATCAGTTATTAGAGATGAGTTATTAAAACTATTATGATTAGAAAAAAAAATGTATTAAAACTATTATGTGTTGAAAAAAATCTTCTCTGTTAAACAGAAATTGGGGAGAAAAAAAACGGGGTGGGGGGGGGGTGCTAATAATTCTAACTTCAACTGTTATATTTGTTTTTTCTTTCCAAGCAATCCATTGACAGCGTACCCAAATAAAGTACCTCCAAACTGAAATCAATTGAAGTCTTTAGGATATTGTTTAAATGCTATGTATACCAAAATCTGGTTAGCGTATAATGATTCACAGAGCCTCCAACAATTTGACTTCCTGTGAAATTACTTTTTAAAACATTTAAACATTTTTTTTTTATTATTGAGCAATAAACTCTGTCACATTTATGGGTCACATTTAACATTACTGCTCCTGTCATGCTACCAACAAAGGCTGACAGTGCTGGTTTAGTTTTGCCACCGTTAAACTAATCCTGTAACTGTAGTTCAAACATCAACATGGTCCAGACCCAATATATAATAATTCCTGTGCTTTTTCTGCATGGATCAGTGTTTAAGAAGTGTTGGCAACACTTTACGATGAAGTTTCATGAACAAACAATGAACAATACCTTTATTACAGGATTTCTTCATGTTAGTTAAAGGTAACTACCTTTAACTAACATGAAGAAATCCTGTAATAAATGAAAATACAGTCATTCTGTGTTAGTTCTTGTTAACTCATGGTGCATTAACAAGCAAGGATTTAGATGTCAATGCATTAGTAAATGCCAAACTATGATTAATAAGTTCTTTAAGTATTGTTCACAATTAGTTGATGCTAGTAGATGGATGAACTAATGAAATCTTATTGTGAAGTGTTAGAAGTGCTGTGAATGTGTTCATATCTCACTGCAGTGTCTCCATCAGTTATCATGGCAACGAGGTGAAGCAGACGCTGCAAAAACTAGGTCATAATAACACTGGATTGACTGAAGTGTGTGTGTGTGTTTGTACAGTAACAGCATGTTTTCTGTGTGTGTGTGCAGCTGTGATCGAGAACATGGCCGAGTTTCGTCCGGGTCTGTGCACAGAAGCGGCGCAGCAGGGTTTGATGCAGTGGCTGCTGAAGAGAATCAAGGTAAGACGAGAGCTTCAGTCCTAATGGAGGAGAACAGCACATGAGCCGCTCATTAGAGCTCGCTGATGGATGAGTTTATCAGTGATACACAGTCTCTAACAGCAAACTGCACACACTGAACTACGCACAGAGTTTAGTTTGGGTTGTTTCTTTATGCATTTATATTCCTGCATTAAAGTCATCATGAAACCAAAGTTAACTTTGTTTAATTTCTCCATATTGTGATGAAAATCCAATTGAAATGGTTTTGAAATTAGAAAAGAAGTAGCTGCTTTTTTCATCCTTTATTCCAACTTATTGGATCGTTGGAAAATGTGCGTTGCTAACAAAATTAAGGAAGATTGATGCATGATTGCATGATTACCTTAGATAAAAATATCATAGTTTGACGGTATTGTGATTACTGCTCTAAATATATATATATATATATATATATATATATATATATATATATATATACATATATACATTTTAAATGTCTGGGCAAAAAACAACAACTTTTTTTTCCTTGAAAACAGTAAATTTTATTTTGAGAAACATTTAAAAAATATTGTTACAGTAAACATGACAGGCTAAATAATTTTTAAAAAATCATTGACTTCTGCTGTCTTTATTACTTTCACTGATTAAACACTGATTTCTTTACAATGTAAAAACGGCATCTTTGGATATGTTTTCTGCTGTAGATACTGTTGTCAAAGTAAAAAAAAAATCTTGACTGTTTTAAAACCTTGACTTTTCCAAACCGCAGTATACCTTGAAAAGGGTTATCGTCCCATGCCTAGTCTCGATAGCCCTGCCCTTACAGACTTGTAGCCCTGCCCTAAATTACTGATAGCCACGCCCTAAAGGACTAATAGCATCGCTCTAAAGGACTGATAGCTTTTTCCTAAAGGACTGATAGCTCCACCCTAAAAGACTGATCGCTCCACCCTAAAGGACTAATAGCCCCACCCCAAATGACTAATAACCCCAACCTAAAAGCCTGATCGCTCCACCCTAAAGGACTAATAGCCCCACCCCAAATGACTAATAACCCCAACCTAAAAGCCTGATGGCCCCACCCTAAAGGACTGATAGCCACTCCCTAAAGAACTGCTAACTCCGCCCTAAAAGACTGATAGCTCAACCCTAAAAGGCTTATAGCTCTTTTCTCCCTAAAGACCTGATAGCACCGCCCTAAAGAATTGATAGCTCCACCATAAATGACTGATAGCTCCACCCTAAAGCTCTCATAGCCCCACCGTAAAGGCCTGATAGCTCTGCCCTAAAGAATTGATAGCTCCACCCTAAATGACTGATAGCTCCACCCTAAAGCTCTCATAGCCCCACCCTAAAGGAATGATAGCTTCTTTCTACAGGACTGATAGCCCCACCACAAATGACTGGTTATCAGTCCCTAAAGAACTAATAGCTCCACCCTAAAGGACTGATAGCTCCGCCCTAAGGGAGTGATTGCTCCGCCCTAAGGGACTGAAAGCTTCTCCCTACAGGACTGATAGCCCCACACCAAATGACTGATAACCGCACTCTTAAGGACTGATAGCTCTGCTCTAAAAGACTTTCTACCTTACTGCCTGATAGTTCTGCCCTGAAGGACTTATACCCCCACCCTAAAGGACTGATAGCCCCACCCTAAAGGACGGATAGCGCCACCCTAAAAGACTGATAGCTCTGCCCTAAAGGACTTATAGTCCCTCTCTAAATAACTGTTAACTCCGCCCCCTAAAAGACTGATAGGTCCTTTCTACCTAAAGGCCTCAAAGCCCCACCCTAAAGGCCTGATAGCTCTGCCTTAAAGGACTGATATCTCTACCCTAAACGACTGATAGCTCCACCCTAAAGCCCTCATAGCTCCACCTTTAATGACTGATAGTTCCACCTTAAAGGTCTGATAGCCCCACCCTAAATGACTGATTGCCATGCCCCAAAGGACTGATACCTCCCCCTTAAATGACTGCTAGCTCCACCCTTATGGACTGATAGCTCCACCCTAAAGGACTGATATCTCCTCCCTAAATGACTTATAGCTCCACCCCAAAGGACTGATAGCTCCACTCCAAAGGACTGAGAGCTCCACCCTAATGGACTGATAGCCCCACCCTAAATGACTACTAGCTCCACCCTAAAAGACTGATAGCCCCACCCTAAATGACTGATTACCATGCCCCAAAGGACTGATAGCACCTCCCTAAATGACTACTAGCTCCACCCTAAGACTGTAAGCCCCACCCTAAATGACTGATTACCACGCTCCAAAGCACTGATAGCTCCTCCCTAAATGACTGCTAGCTCCACCCTAAAGGACTGATAGCTCCACCCTATAGGAATGATAGCTCCTCCCTAAATGACTGCTAGCTCCACCCTAAAGGACTGATAACTCCACCCTAATGGACTGATAGCCCCACCCTAAATGACTGATTGCCATGCCATAAAGGACTGATACTCCTCCCTAAATGAATACTAGCTCCACCCTAAAAGACTGATAGCCCCACCCTAAATGACTGATTACCACGCTCCAAAGCACTGATAGCTCTTCCCTAAATGACTGCTAGCTCCACCCTAAAGGACTGATATCTCCTCCCTAAATGACTTATAGCTCCACCCCAAAGGACTGATAGCTCCACCCTAATGGACTGATTGCCCCACCCTAAATGACTACTAGCTCCACCCTAAAAGACTGATAGCCCCACCCTAAATGACTGATTACCATGCCCTAATGGACTGATAGCACCTCCCTAAATGACTACTAGCTCCACCCTAAGACTGATAGCCCCACCCTAAATGACTGATTACCACGCTCCAAAGCACTGATAGCTCCTCCCTAAATGACTGCTAGCTCCACCCTAAAGGACTGATAGCTCCACCCTATAGGAATGATAGCTCCTCCCTAAATGACTGCTAGCTCCACCCTAAAGGACTGATAACTCCACCCTAATGGACTGATAGCCCCACCCTAAATGACTGATTGCCATGCCATAAAGGACTGATACTCCTCCCTAAATGACTACTAGCTCCACCCTAAAAGACTGATAGCCCCACCCTAAATGCCTGATTGCCATGCCCCAAAGGACTGATAGCTGTCTATTATGATGAGATTTAACTCTATCATTTATTTGTTTTTGAGCTTTTACTAAGAGCTGCAGGCCTGCTGCCACCGTTCTCCCTGTTTTTCCTCCACGCGAGGTGAAATCCTCCTCAGATTTAGCGCTGGCTGCTGAATAAGAGCGTCATGCGGCTCGAGTCTTAATGCTCCCTGAAGACTTCCACCAATCCAGAGCAGCGCAATTACACTGACAATAGAGAACAGATCGAATGGGACACCGCTGCCAAAGCCATTCAAATTGTGTGTTTGTTGTGTTCCCGAACAGGCCAAGATGCCGTTTGACGCCAATAAGCTGTACTGCAGTGAAATACTGGCCATCCTGCTGCAAAACAACGACAGTAAGTCTGAATAAGAGACGGAGCGCTCTGTCTGAATCATTGCTTTATTACAGACTCACGCCATCAATAATTACACACTCAAATGCTTTTAAAGCCTTTTTGCATCAATACAAAAATGCAGCATGCAAATCAGGCCATTGATGTAGACCTCCACTGACAAGTTCCTTGCTTCATTTAGATGCAAGCAGCTTTTAGCTTGACATATCCTGTCTGTAAGTGCTGCTTTTTTTTTCAATAAAAATATTCATGCATTTATATTTTGTATGCATAACTCTCAGCTCTGCTAGAAATGATGGTGTGGTTTATAAATGTAAAAAGCAGAGATGCTCTGTATTTATTGTAAATACATTTAAAGAAGTTAGTGCTGTCAAATAATTAATTTAGATTAATTATATTTAAAATGAATGTTTCTGTTTGCATAATACACTTACTGGCCACTTTATTAGGTACACCATACTAGTAGCGGGTTGGACCCTTTTTACATTCAGAACTGCCTTAATCCTTCGTGGCGTAGATTCAACAAGATACTGGAAACATTCCTCTGAGATTTTGCTCCATATTGACATGATGGCATCACGCAGTTGCTGCAGATTTGTCGGCTGCACATCCATGATGAGAATCTCCCGTTCCACCACATCCCAAAGGTGCTCTATTGGATTGAGCTCTGGTGACTGTGGAGGCCATTTGAGTACAGTGAACTCATTGTCATGTTCAAGAAACCAGTCTGAGATGATTTACGCTTTATGACATGGAGCGTTATCCTGCTGGAAGTAGCCAGTAGATGGGTACACTGTGGTCATAAAGGGATGGACATGGTCAGCAACAATACTCAGGTAGGCTGTGGTGTTGACACGATGCTCAATTAGTACTAATAGGACAAAATTGTGCCAAGAAAATCTCCCCCACACCATTACACCACCACCACCAGCCTGAACTGCTGATACAAGGCAGGATGATCCATGCTTTCATGTTGTTGATGGCAAATTCTGACCCGAGCATCTGAATGTGTCAGCAGACTCATCAGAGCAGGCAACGTTTCTCCAATCTTCTATTGTCCAGTTTTGGTGAGTCTGTGTGAATTGTAGCCTCAGTTTCCTGTTCTTAGCTGACAGGAGCGGCACCCGGTGTGCTCTTCTGCTGCTGTAGCCCATCCGCCTCAAGGTTGGCCGTGTTGTGTGTTCAGAGATGCTCTTCTGCAGACCTCAGCTGTAACGAGTGCTTATTTGAGTTACTGTTGCCTTTCTATCAGCTGGAACCAGTCTGGCCATTCTCCTCTGACCTCTGGCATCAACATGGCATTTGCCTTGGTAATTTTTATATTCACCGTTTCATTTAGGGAAGCTCCTGAGGTAAATAAGTTGAATCTCTGAACTTTAATAATAAATCTAAATAAAATGCTGCGCTTCCCACCTCCAATCGCAATGACTTCTGGGACTTCCAGAGCAAGTTCGGCGCTCAAGTCTGCATCAGTGCATCCTTGATATCAAGAACACATCCGGGAAGTTTCACGCATCCTCCGTTCTTGCAGTGTTGAGTATTGAAACTGAACTTTAGAAGCTGATGATGACTTTACATGAGAACACGAGGACGCAAGACCACTGAAGAACGCATATTGAGAAACAGCCCTTGTATATGTGTATGTGTCTGTGTATATATGTCTACAGTATGTGTATATATACATATATAGGTTTGTTTATGTTTGTTTTACATGTTGTTTTAATTATATTTTTTTTCTTTGGTTAGTTTAATTGTTTTGATTTCAAGTTTGCAAAAACAAGAGAGAAAAAAAGATTTTACATGATGAGAAATGAAAAAATCGAGGGTGAAGTTAGTCGAGATGTGGTGCAAGTCTAATTAAAGTAGGAATTTATTTTGATTTCATATTTTATAAGATTGTCAAGAATATTGAAGAATTTGAACAAATGTGTGGATATATGAAGAGGTGTCGTGCTCTGTCAAAGATGGAGAACTAATATTTTCTAAATTAAATTCATCTTTATTTCTCTAGAGCAGTGGTTCTCAAACTGTGGTACGTGTACCACTAGTGGTAAGCGGGCTTCCTTCAAGTGGTACGCGGAGGAATCAAATATGTCATAGGCTACATGTATTTTAAAAAGGATCAAAAATGATTTGTATATCAATGTGATGACATATAGCCTATATTTATGAGGTCCAAGCAGCAACATCCCCAGGTTTTAATAAATTGGCTACTATATGTTAATACTTTACATTTAAGTAGCAGTTTTTTTTTTTTTTTACGTTTTAAGAACAGTAATCTACCATTTCTTACTTTTAAAAGCACATTTTAATTTAAATATTTTTTTTTTTGTTTGTTTGTTGTAAGCACAGTACAGTGTTAATGTTCAGACTATTTATAATGTTTAAAGTGGCTGACAATAATAAATATTCTCAATAATAGAAATTAATCTGCCTGGTTTTTGAACTGTGCAGAGTCGTAGCTGCTTTACCGGGCCTACTATGCTACTGTATTTCAATTCTGCTCATTATGGTGGTACTTGGAGAGAAGATTTTTTTTTTGGTACTTGATAAAAAAGGTTTAAGAACCGCTGCTCTAGAGCTCTTACAATGTAGATCTTGTCAAAGCAGCTTCACATAAGAAGTTCTAGTAAACTGAAACTGTCAGTCGGGTTTTCAGAGTTGAGTTCAGTGTGGTTTAATGTTCACTGCTGAAAGTCCAAACACTGAAGAGTAATGGCTTCAGTAAAATCTACTTTTTTTAATTGTGTTTTTTAAAAATGGCATAAAATAGAATTTAAAAAAAGTCTCTTTCTCTCTTTGTCTCTCTGTCTTTCTCTCTCAGAAACGAGGGAGCTGTTGGGGGAAATGGATGGTATTGATGTCCTACTGCAGCAGCTCTCAGTAAGAAGCTTCTGAGTGTTTTTTCTGAATCACCGAGAGTTTTCCGAGATCACGCTGACCCAGAACACACCACTGACATCCACACACACACCAGCACATCTAAAACACTTGCATTATTGTGTCATGATGCACCCAGACAATGCCTAATTAATGATTTATTAATCATTTCAAGCAAATAAATTAAAGAGAGGCAACAGTTATTATTTTAGCCTAATAATTATTTTTACAATCTATTTTATTCAGATTTTTTGTATAAAGAGCTTTTACTAGGAAGAAAATCTTATTATTCTTCTAACTTAAGACATGATGAGGTTATTTACACAAGATGTGTAAGCAGGGGTGTCCAAATTGGAGTAACTTCAGCAGCTCTATGCATGAACATAAGTGCCAATCTGATTGGTGGAGAAGGTTTTGACGTGGTGCGTCAAATAAAATGAGCATGAGGCATTGTTTTTATTAAATGACGCTTTTACATCTGGCGTTTTGCATGTTTGTGCGCACGATCACATTGGCTCCCTTTATTTAGGCCCTGTTTACACTTGTGCGTTTTAGTTTTAAAACAGCGCTTTAGAATGAAAATGATCCGCGTCCACACTCGCGTTTCACCCAGCGTTTCTGAACAGCTCTCTGTCCACACCACAATGCTGAAAACACATCACGTGACCACACACACACACACACTCTCTGCCATGTACTACAGCATATCTTCCCAGATGAGAGCTGTGCTCGTTGGACTGTTCATCAAGGATCTACCGCTGGATCTAATCTCACTATATTTGCTAAACGTGATATTTCATTCATCTAGTCTCTATCTAACGACATATTCCTCGACTTTGGTCTTGTGACTCTATTACTTGTTCTTAAATTTTGTGTTTTGGCTGAGCACAAACATGCGCTAATAATTAATGTAACCACGTACATTCTGTATATTGACTGATTGCTTTCCTTTATTTGCTATAATGTATAAACTTATTGTACGTTATACTTTAATAATGGCCGTTATTGATTATTAAAACTGATATTTAGGGCTGCGCAATTAATCGAAAATCCGGTTTCGATTTCGATTATGGCTTCAAACGATTATGAAAAACCATTAATCAAGATTAACGATTATTGCATCATATACCGTCCCTTTCCAGCTGTACACATTTGTCGCTCTGCAAAGATCAGTTTCACGTGAAAATGACTAAAAGCATGTACTGTAATGTACGTCTGCAGCACGGGATGCGCATCATTCATTGATGTACTATGAATCATTCATATTTTTAATAGCGCAAAAGAGCACGGAGGCTCGGAGACTAGCAGAGCACACGCATCTAACGCAATCTTAATGTGAGCGCTTTAATGGTCAAATACATGCACATTTGTGTTAGAGCGCGGTGTTTAGTGATTATTCATATTAACCCTCATTTTTGTAACTAACAAACAAGTTGAGAGTCAAAAAACATGTGAAAGAGATATCAGAGCCGCACTATTCTTAAAGTGACAGCGCGCATAATCCTTGCTGCCGTCTGTTTTTATCATTATTAATCAAACAAAAGGACGAAATCCCTCACTAGTTGACTTAAGGACTTTTTTTGTAGCTAAAGTTTTTTTTCTTACAGTGAAGATGCTTAAAGCACAGTTTAAACATAACAGATTCAATAACTAATTTCTAACAACCGATTTCTTTTATCTTTGCTATGATGACAGTACATAATATTTTACTAGATATTTTTCAAGATACTAGTATTCAGCTTAAAGTGACATTCAAATGCTTAATTAGTGTAATCAGGTCATTGTATAACAGTAGTTTTTTTCTGCAGACAATCAAAAATATATATTGCTTAAAGGGGCTAATAATATTGAGCTATTAAAATAGGTTTCAAAATATTTAAATATTTAACAATTATAGAAAATACTGTAAAGAATTCCTCTGTTAAACATCATTTGAAACATCATTTGAAAAAAAAATATTATATATATATATATATATATATATATATATATATATATATATATATATATATATATATATATATGTATAGTTTATTATATATATAAAATCACAGAAGGGCGAAAAATTTTTACTTCAATTGATAATCGTTTTGAATAATCGTGATTACAATTATGACCAAAATAATCGTAATTATGATTTTTCCCATAATCGAGCAGCCCTACTGATATTCAGCAAAAGAGAGGGTGGATTTCAATTTTTCAATGAGAATGAAAGGAGGCAGTGATGTTATAGGCGCTGTTTAGTTATAAATATGCACACAGTGAAGATGACGCTCATAAATGCAGCACGACGCCTCAACATTTCTGCTGTCTGTGAAGTTGTTAATATCAAAATGAAAATAGTCGTTCCTTATATCATGTTTTCATTTTACTGTTAAAATATTGAAACAACGTACATATCCAGGATGATGTGAAAAAGTGTACACTGTTCCCTTTGGTGATTTACCCAATTTGTCCTCGGGAGTTTGTTTTCCATATCAATCTTGCGAAGTCCGAACTTACAGGGAGAGGATGCAGGACTGAACTGTGTGTGTAGGCTACTTAATAGTGAGGAAAAAGCCCCAATCATATAGGCGAATGTCTGTAGCCCCGCCTCCGTTTTCAGATGTCTCTTTTTTCCCCCATCCACACTGAGATGGAGCAGCAGCATTTTGGAATAAAAACGGCCTCTTCAGTGTTTCTGAAACGCTCCGGTTTTGGCACTCAAACTCTGGCGTAGTGTGGACAGATGGCATAACCGTAGCAAAACATATGCGTTTTCAAACTAAAACTTATTAGTGTAATTGGGGCCATAGTCACATGCAAAAAGCGTCCCGGTGTGCACGGGCCTTAATTGCGTCATCTCGATGACTGCCGCTTTAAATTCAAATTTTGCTCTTTTTCTAAAGAGGGCGGAGCTACAAACACTTCCACATCAGCATATTAGATTCAAAACAGAACTAATGTTCTCAGTGCTGGTCAGGTGTACATGTGTGCTTCAGTGTGAGTGTGAGCTTTATGCTTCTGTCAGTCTATGGAAACTCCTGTCGCTGTTTTC